ATTTCCTTTTCTTGCTACATCTTAAAGATAGCATTACTCTGTCCGTGGTTTCCATTTTGTGAATGGAAACCATTCACAATGAATGAGAAGTCATTGGTCTTTTATTATTATTATTATTATTATTATTAATTTGTTCACATGTGCATACATTGTTTGGCTCATTTCTCCCTTCTGCCCCTGCCCCTACCCTCTCCCTCCACCCCCTCCCTTCCAGCAGAACCTGTTCTGTGGTCATTCTTATCACAATTTCCTTCTATATATATATAATTTTTACTTAAATGCGTTCATTATTCTGACTATGATATATTTTACTAATATTTAACCTATATTACTTAAAACATGAATTAATAATAATACATAAAAATCTTGCTTTCTGGATTGGTTTTTAAAATCACAAAAAATGTTAAATGATAAGTAGGTGCTATGAAATGGATTGCCCTTCAGATCATTTTATAAAGAATTGCAATCATACTGCAACTACAAATAATCATTTTTATCTCCTGGTTTAAACTATAACCATATACTATGCATGTATATACTTCACATATGCATAGTCAGATGCATGTATGAAATGTGTATGTGCATATATAATTAATGTATATACATTAATTCTCTTGTTAACCTTCATGTTCATGTTTACAAGTGCATTCTGAATTTGTGCTTTGGGATGTTTCTGATGTGCTTCAAACCCCCAAAATACAAGCCATTTTGTTCCCCTTTCCCAACCTTTTAGCTAATATTTTTTCCATATTGCACACTCTCTGTAATCCAGGTATTATATCTGGATGTTTATTTATATTTATATAACTATAAAAATTTTGTCTGTATTCATAGTTACAACTAAAAAAACTACTAGGATGTTTTAAAAATGAAAGATGTCTCTTCTTTTCCTAGTCAGCACTTTGCTTTGTTCAGCTAGTATTTTCATTTTAAATTATTATACATAAATTTTCAAATGGATTTTATAAGACATTGTTTCTTTTATCATGTTTAGATATTATTTTGCATTTATGTAATTGAGCCATCTAGAAATTTATTTGGACTGCAAGAATTGTATGGTGCCAAGAATAATAGTAACTCCACAATTCTGTATTTTCCCACATATGCTCACAAACAGTACGGTGCAAAAGAAAAAACAAATAATATTACATAAAACCCTCACTGTCAGTATAACCAGAAGGTAGAGAATGTTTAAACATCAAAATGCTGTAGAAGAAGTAAAACCAAATCTGTTTGAGCTGTACCTCATAGTCCAAATCTTCTATGGAAATTGTGTCAAGGAAAAGTGAAAAGTAGGTACTGGGGACTAAAACTGATTTAAAATGATCTACAGAAAGAAAATAGCCATCCTAAGTGTAAAAATACTAAAGTAAAAAGTATTTTCCACCAATAATCTTGTATCAGTTACTGAATGATCTCAGTTTTCCACTCTAATTTTAAATAAACTACTGAATTTTTGTGTAGATTCTATATTATTCTAATGCTTCAGATTATATTTAATGACAGTGACAAAAGCAACATAGGAAGTCAAAACTACACAATAGATTAAAACCCAGCTTTAAATAGTCTAAGACCCACTATCAAATAGCAAAACCAGTTCCATATACTTTAATATACCTCAGTCTCAAAGCAGTGGACACTGCCACTGGTTCCATTGTTACTACTGCCTCTGAAACTGCTGAAGTTGTTGAAACATCTGATGAGGCAAAAATAAAGATTCCATCCATTGCCCTCCCTTTCCTTCTGTTCTTCAATACAAATTCAAAATCTTGACCTGGTGCATTTAATTGTCTTGACAAAGGTCATGTCAGCACTTCTGAGATGCATACGAGTCTAGATTAAGTTATTCTCTGGGTTACCTGGCTCACTCTTTCATTTTTTTTTCTAGTGCAGGGTTTCTCTTTTCATGTTTCAGACAATAACAAGTTTCCTAAATCTAGATACTTGTTTCCCATGATAAGAAGTATCTTGTCCTCATTAAATTAATATCCCATATGCTTATTTATCTTCAATTTTACAAAATGGAAATATTTTATTTTGTCATTATTTGCATAAATAAAATTCCAGACACTCTCACCTGACATTAACCTGTCAACTATTCAGTGATTCAAGCTAGTGGCTAAGTTTTGGATTTTTCTGAAGTAGCCCTTGGAATATCAATTGTTTATGCTACATAAAAATTTAATTTGTAAGCTTTTTGTGGAGTATTTTAAAGGTGTTAAAATTTATATTTAAACACAACTGGGTTGACATTTATGTCCATCACCTAACCAGCTTTACAATGATGAAGTTGTGACACTAATCAAGCTCCGTCTCCTCATCTATACAATAGAAATCACAAGGACAATATGTGAGAAAATGAGATAACATAATTTGAAACATCTGCTTTGAGGCTTCAGAAATGGTAGTCAGACAGTAAGAGTGGCAATAATTATAATTGCTAGAATATTTTGGTAAATTTTGTCATATTCAAATTGAAATTTGAGGGTAATTTTTTATGGGATTCATTCCATACTTCTGCTGGTTCTTCAATTTTCAATTGATATCCATGAGAAATGCTTTCCACTTGAATCAACAATAACATTAAAATAAAAATATTGGTTCAACTGGAAATACTGGAAAGACCAAATCGAATGTGGTATAATTTTTGCCAAAAGCTTACTTTAGCTATTACATTTTTTAGAAAGACAGTCTAATGGACAGATTAACTATTAATCTTTCTATGTTTTCTGTGCTTTAGTGCTGTATTAAGATAGCTTGCCAGAAAGCATAGTGCCTGCATGATATTATATAAACTCCCCGCAGGAATGCTTTTACTGAATTATGATTTAATGATTAATAATTTACAGTCTGCACTCAGCCATCTAAAAGTCAGATGCATGCCGGTTCCGTTTGATAAATGCTTGAATTGCTTTGCAATGCCATAGGAGACAAATACCTGCTATTAATTCATTCTTCTAGTTGACAGTCAGGGTAGTTTCATTCAACATCAAAATTATCAGTAAAAGTGTCACCTGGGATAAGAGACTCAGTTGGAAAGAAAATAAGTACTGACGAAGCCAGTACTGTGGTCCACGGATTCTGTATTGTCTGATTTAATCTTTACATCATTTTGAGATATATGAAGGATTCAAAATTTTATATGCGAAAGCAAGACAAGGAAGATGTTATTGAGGTCCCATAGTTAGTAACAAAATGAGGAGTCAAAGATTATTGTGCTAAAGAGTGGTAAAAGAAAAAGTAAAAGATTATATTTGGAATAAGCAATAAGAAGCAAAGCTATCAAATCGCACCTTGAGGTTTCAATGAAAGGTATCTAGACTATTTCCATTAGGGAGAGAACTTTGCAATAAATTTGAAACATTCCTTTGTGTCTACTTTTAAGAACAATATTCTTAACATACATAAACTTAGCAGTGTTTGTTAGCTATCTTAATAGGTCTCTAAAAACAACAAATATAAGAATTACTTTTAGGTCAGATGTGGTGGCTCATCCCTATAATCCCAGATACTCTGCAGACTGAGGTGAGAAGATTGAGAGTTCAAGCCTAGCCTGGGCAACATAGTGAGACTCCATCTCAAAAAGTATTTTTCATTGTAGTCTAAAAAGAAATATGGCCTTTGATTTGGTTAATTCACTGTAGCATAATTTAGTTTAGCTAATATTTTACTTCAAACTTTAAGAATATACAACTAATTCAACCCAAAGATCTTAACACTAGAAGGATCCAAAATAACAAAGTACTGACATTATCAATACTTGGATCCATTACCATCTTCCCGCCCAACTGTAGACAAGTCCATGTTTTATGCTGCTAATTAAGAGAATTGTCTAATGCCCAAATCAACCTATTCAATTTCTTGACTCCTGCTTAGAAAATTCTTCATTATTAGGCTTCAACACATTGATTGTATATAGTTCATTACTTCTGAATAATATAAAAGACTAATTTTTCTTCCACATGACAATCATTCAAATACTTGGAAACAATACTGTTCCACTTGCTTCTTTTCTGCCTTAACTATTATACAAAGATGACCACTTACAGTTGAATATATAAATGGATAGTATTCAAGATACATAATGGAAAACTTACATATATAGTGGAAAACTATCTGAAAAAAATTAAGCTGTGTAGAGAGAAAATTTTTTGAGTAATTTTCACAGTAATGAATTTATGTGAGTTCCTTTGATACTGATTAAATGTTAAAGAGTGATTGTAGGTATGGGGAAAGACAATGATTTTAGTTAATACCAGTTAAGTTGCTGACATTGGTGACATTATCATCCAGACATCTGAAGGAAGAGAGTGTTCTGAGAAATATACTTGGCAAATGCCTGTAGGGAGACAGAAATTAAAACTATCTGTACATTTGTTAAAAACATGAATATAACAAAGGAGAAAAAACAGAACTTTAAAGGTTGTGATAGTTAAAATTATTTGATCAATACTTCTGGGTGTATAGCTCAGTAGGTAAAGTGCTGGGTCAGCATGTGTGAAACTTTGGATATGATTCTCAACACTGCTAAAAACTGAGACATACTAAAAGTCAAAGGAAGTAATAATCATAAATACAAAAATACTGAAAAAGTGTGGAGCCAAGGAATAATGAAGATTGTTTATGAAAGAAAGCAAAAGTCAATTGTTATATATGGCTCATATGAAATAACTCAATTTGACCAGAAAAAAAATTCACTAACAATCTTAGAACTCTTATTAGAGTGGAGAAGTTGAGAGGAAGATTTTAGTAAAATAAAGAGCATTCAAGGGATAAGTAAATGAATTAGGTTGAGTAATTTAGAAAATTATTAATGAAATATAAGATTAAGTACAGTAAAACTCAACAACTTAGATTTCTACAAAATTCAAGAATGTGTAGTTTAAATGTACTTATTCAGTTTGCTGGTTTCTATTTTGTACTATCCTATGTGTTTATAAATTTAATATTTTAGTATATCCAACTTTTATACAAAACTGAAGAAAATTAATTTATTACAGGCACAAAATTGGAAATGTCGGCTTCCCCAGAATCAAAGGACCTTGTCCCTTTCACTAGAGATTCTCTTGAACTCATAAAACAGCATATTGCTAAAAAGCACAAAGAGGAACATGAAGAGGAAGATTTAAAACCAAACCCTGACTTGAAAGCTGGCAAAGAGCTTCCATTTATTTATGGAAACCTTTCTCGAGGAATGGTGTCAGAGCCCTTGGACGATGTTGACCCATACTACTATGTGAAGAAAAATGTGAGAATTAATTGAAGTTGTAACTATATTTTATAACTTTATTTCCAGATGTTCAAAAATGTCTAGATCTTGAGATAAGATACAAAAAGAAGAATGAACAATAGAAAAGAGCTATTGTATAAGATATTTTAGAAACACACATTTGAGATTTTTATCACACTTGATATCTTATCTGATTGGGTAATTTATTTTGGTTACCTTACTTGTTAATATATGTACTTGTATTCCTTAATATATACTACTTGCTTTATGGAAGCACAGTAGTTAATGATTTGTGGTTATCAATTTTAAAGTAATCATAAAATGTCTAGGATATGCCCAATAATTTAAAATAGTCAACTTGATAAGCTTATTCAGAAATTTAAAAAGTCAATACAACTATATTTTTTATCATTTTTACTCATTCATACATTCATCTCCAGAAATATTTGAGGCACATATTAATATATGTGCAGTCCCAGAACAAGCACAAAATACTAAGTATGAGAATAATGTTGTTTAGAAAAGGCAGAGATTTGAGTGGACTAGTGAACTACTCATTGAGAAAATAAAATTTGAGTTAGATCTTGAAGACCACTTCATATTTTAATATCAAGAGAGGACCTACTTTGAACAAGCAAGAGCAGAGACTGATTCTAGAATGGGAAAAGAAAGAATGATGCAATAACTGGAAAGTTACTATGTTGCAGATTGTGGGAGAGGAGATGAAACAATGAAGATATCACCATGGATTTAACGTCATGATCAAAGGAATGATTGATGGATATGACATTTAAATAAAGTTAATCTGGTCAATTTCTAAATTGAAAGAGATAGGATCAGAAATATGAAATTGGAGAGAGATAGAGTCAAGGTTTTCATCTTGAAAAAATGGTATTGCCACTGAGAAAAATGAAGCAAATATAAAGTAGATTAAGTTTAAGGGAGATGAGGATTAGCCCTAGAGTGGACAAATGTAATTTTATATTTTTGTATAATATTCAGTAGTATTTTCTAATAGATGAAATCAAATCTAAACAAAGTCTCTGGAGAAAAGAAAAGTGATTTTGTTTTGGTATAGTTGCAACTTTGGAATACCTTTTTTGTTGTTGTTGGAATACCTTTCATGGTAAAAAGATTATCAACTGTATAATTTTTTTTATGGTACTGGGGATTGAACTCAGGGTTTTGTGCTTACTAGGCAAATGCTCTGCCACTTGAGCTGCACTGCAGCCCTTTTAGCTTAAGCTAGTTTTTAGATAGGGCCTCTCACTTTTTGCCTGGGTTGACATTGGACAGTGATCTTCCTATCTTCACTTCTCAAGTAGCTGCAGTTACAGGCATATGCCATGGAGCAAGCTCTCAGCTGCATAATCTTGAGAAAATTTTAAAGTGTAAAGTTAAAGTCTCAGCATGCTTAAGTCATAATAATTGATAAAGAACAATAGCCTTGGCACTAGCTATAACATAGTGTTCTGAGTAATCCACTGTATATACAGACATAGTAAGCAAAGGTAGGTTTGTTATTGAAGATAAAACCAAGAATTTTGACATGTAATGTGAGGCCCACAGTTACTTGTGGTCTAGTTGCCATGAAACAGTGGGGTAAAATGACAAAGATAACTTTGTGTACAATGTACTGCTTTTAATCATGTTATGTAAACATTTGAGTTGCATTTGGTCTATTCTGTCAAAGATAGCATAGAAATAAATAATTATAGAGTTAATAGAAAAATTTCAGCCTTTAAATTATGAAATTATTATATCTGAAATTATTCATTCCTTAGCAAATTGTTTGATTGCACATATTCTACATCCTATATGAAGCCTGAAATTGTTCTGGAAAATAATATGCAAGTACACTTTAAATGATCACATTTATTTTCCTTGGCACTTTTGTTTTCTGTGCATTAAAGATGGAAAGATAGAAAGTAACTGTAATAGACCAAAGCAACCATAGGTTGCATGTTGAAAAGTGTTTAATTGAGAATCGTAGCACAACACAGTGTCCATTTAGAACATGTATTCATAAAATGTTAATGAGTACGTTTGCACGAAGTAATTTCTTTTTCTATATGTATCCACAAATATGAAGACCAATATAGTCATCTCAATATTATTATATAACATATAATAGACTAATATATAATAGATTATATTTACATATATTATTGCATATTATAGTAGATTTTATCTCATCATATTATAAACTGTTTAATTATAAAATACACATTTTATCCTATAACCTTTAGAATATTTACTATTTGTAAAATATTTGTGCATACCCCACAATGAATACTTTTTCTGAATGGACATATAAAAACATGTACTCACATTTTCAAAGAATATGTAAACATACATGAATATAAAAATATGCATGTACATCCAAAAGCATATACAATATATAGATATATAAATCAATTTTAGTTTGAGAATATTTCTAGTTCCTCCAAAAGGATAAAATCTTAAGATTTTATTTCTTGGAGTACTGGGGATTGAACCCAGGACCTCAAACATGCTATGCAAGAGCTCTACCACTTAAGCTATACCCCAGGTCCTTTTGTTTGTGGACTTTGTTTTTGAGATAGGGTCTCTCTAACCTTGCCTGAACTGTCCTTGATCTAGCAACCCTCTAATATCTTTCTCCCAAGTAGTTGGGATTACAGGTGTGTGCCACCACACCAGACCTTGTTAAGATTTTAATACTTTACTATCCCAACATCTTGGGTTATATTACATAAATTTCTGGTTTAGGTAGATTTATGTTAGTAATACCAAATAAATTGGGTTTATTTTATACATAATTACTAATTAATTATTAGTATAGTATTTCAGTATGTTGAATTGTTCTAAAGGAAAACTAAATGCAAAATGTTTTACATTCATTAAAATTCTGTAGTGTGGCACATGTGGTAGATTTAAATGCATGTCTATGTGCCATTGAATGTAGTGTTCTTATTATGTTAGCTCTGTGGTGAAACTGATATGGCATATGGAAAATGACTTGGTGATAACACTGACAAAACTAAACAATAATAGTAGACAGATAAGTATAAATATGAGTAAAAACAGTAAAAATCTTTCATTTGACTTAGCCTGTGAAATATATCAAAACAAGAAAAGTATAACAGCATCAAGACTGTCTGAATCATTGGCAGTATGTTGTGTAGTTGATGTTATAGTTCAGTGCTTTAATTTCACTTGATTTTGTTTCCTCACAGACTTTCATGGTATTGAATAAAGAGAGAACAATCTTCAGATTGAATGCATATTCCATCTTCTGTACCTTGTCTCCTTTCAGCCCCATTAGAAGAACAACTATCAAGGTTTTGGTGCATCCATATCCTTTTCTGTGAACTTGTTTACTGTGTGAACCACAGATGCCAAATCCAACTGCTCATTACTCAACTATTACTGCAGAAATTTCACTATCTTATTTTTATCTCATTTCAGCTTGTATTGAAATCTGGATGGTGCTGCATTAATGATTCCATGTTTTAAAATACATATAAAATGTATTTTCCAATATTCATGATAGTAGTATAGTAGCAAAAATTAACAGTCATCTTCACTGTTTTTCAATAAGGATAATATGTATTTTCAACATTTCTGAAAATATTTCATCCCATGTGTATACAAATGTAAGTTATAGAAGTAGACCTTTCTGATGTTATTTATTGTCCATTTTTCCTTGACTGTAACCTACCATTTTCCGACTGTTAATTTTAGTCAGTGTCCTCATTGATTGCATACTTATGACCTTGAACAATCCACCAGAATGGGTACTAGCAATAGAGTAAGTTATGTAAATTTATTATCCATAATATCATCTACAATCATACTTTAGTTTTTAACATTTTGTGTTATTTAATAACATTATATAGTGTGTTACATATATAAATAATACAATTTAATATTTACATTTTACACATAACGGTATATTTGTGGTATACAAGGTAGTATTTATATATACACCACAATTGAATTTTCCAAATAAAGCATGAATACATGTCACTTTATTAACTTAAGGTTTTTCCTGTCCTTTCATTATTCTTAGTTAGATACTTTTGAATCATGGTCTCATTAGTTGCCAAGGCTGTCCTCAAACTTTTGATCCTCCTGCCTCAGTCTCCATCATGCCCTACACTTAGTTAAATGTTTAAATATATCTATTTCTCATTAGAGTATGTTAACGTCATAAAAATATTTGAGTCTTCAGCTATATTTGTAGGTCATGTTACCTACAAGTGGTGTTTTATTTCAGACTTAATTATTAATGATTAGTAAATATTTCAGTGTCTCGGGTCTCTACTATTGCAACCCCACACCTGACTTCTTCATACTTCAAATGAATTTTATTCCTTTCCATTCATTAAGAAACTGTTACTTTTCTATTTTACTTTTCTTCTCTTTCCTGAGTAATATGAATGGTCACATTTGCTTGAGACTACAATGATGGAAAAGCCCATTAAATTTTCTAGGGAAGAAGATTTTCTTGAAGTTACCTCTTGACCTTTAAGTCTTTTCTTAAAATTAGTTGACTTTGGGAGGTAACAATAATACTTATTCACCAAAAATTCCTTGTGTGTTTATAGTATAATTAATTAGAACTTAACATATTTCTCTTAATTATTGTATAAATTCCCACATGGAGTAAATTTGTTATTTGATATTTTTATCTTTTACCTAAATAAATAATATTTTTAAAGGTGTTCACTTCTGAACCAGGACTTGTTGAAAGAAAATGGTAGTCAAATTTCAAATTTCATGGCTAATAGTACAAGGCATAGGCATTCTAAAAGCCATATCTGAAGTTCTGTGCTGAGATTCATGGGGCCCTTGCTGCTTACAATATTGTCTGCTTGATTGATGATTGGTTGTTTTTAGCCTACCAAACAGATAATGTTTTTATCTTTCTGTTAACTTATCTTTAAATACCATATATTTATCATAGACATAGTATTTCTGCATTGACAATGTATTAATATCACTTTTAATATTTATGTGAAATTTTTTTCTGTAGGAATACTTTGCTTGGAATTTATACATTTGAAATACTTGTGAAAATTATTGCAAGAGGTGTCTGGGCAGGACCTTTTTCTTTCCTTGGAGATCTATGGAATTGGCTCGATTTCAGTGTAACTTCATTTGAGTAAGTATTTCTTGAAGTTGTGAACATCTTCATCTTCTATGAAGGAAGTGTGTTTTATTTTAAAAATCATCTACAATGTGTTTTCTGCTGGGAAAAACTTTAAGATTAAAGAACATTTCAGAAGTTGTAGTCATGATGATTCCCTTGGTCAGCTGTTGATGAACTAGACTTCAAAATATGAGACATGGATAAAATGAATGGGATGTTTTCTATCTTGACTGAATGTAGGACTGGATATGTCCATTTTAAGTAATTTTTTAAAATTCTTAGTCCTCATTTAGCTACACAGCTTGAGATCAGTAAATATAATGAATACCAGAATAAGGTATTTTAAACACACGTTTTCTGTAGTGTTAAGTACAATTCTAATTATTTCATGACTACTTTTTCAGTGCTTTTATTCTGTTTTATACATGTGGAAATGATTAGTGACATCAAATTCCATTAAAAACCATTTTTAAAGATATTCTATTTATAGTTTTTTCTCATTTAAAAAACAGTAATACTGGGTTGACAGAGTGGCTCAAGTGGTAGAGCATCTGCCTAGCAAGGGTTAGGCCCTGAGTTCAAACTCCAGTACTGCAAAAACAAACAAACAAAAAAACCCAATGATCCTTATAAAGAGTATAGGCAGTGTTTGCCAATTGTAAGCAATCAAATAATATTAGGTAAGTGCCAAGTACTGTGACCTGTGGTCCTGGACAACCAGGGAAAAACATGAGACCCTATCTCACAACAGTAACTAAAGCAAAAAGAGCTGGGCTTGTGGATCAAATGGTAGAGCACCTGCCTAGCAAGCATGAGGCCCATAGTTCAAAGCTCAGTGCTGCCAAAAGAATTACTGTCTATGCTAACTTCTAATATTTCTGTTCTTGTTGCTGCAAGCTAACACTTAGCTAACTAAGCTAACCTTACACGCTTTACATGTATTATCCCATTTAACCCCATGAAGAGCCTCTGAATTCAAAATATCACCCCACCTTAAAATTGAAGAAATTATTGCAAAAAAAAAAATAGATAAATTTCTCCTGTCACACAGCTAGTAAATGGTGGCTCTTACATTTCTGCACAGGCAATCTGGCCCCATGGATGTTCTTACCTAATATATAGTCATCACTCTTCCCCATCATCAGAGTCATCATTGCCACAAACATTGGAGTTTTAAATACCTAGGATGAATCTCATTCTTCATAAAAACACAGCTACTAGCTCTTCTTATATTCTCTTCAGCAATAAGAAAAATGTTTATGAATATAATGTATTATATTTGATATGCAATTTAGAATATTCACTGTCAAACTGTTATAAACTCTCATAATTTAAGTTCATAGATGGATATTTACCAAGTCACCTTGATCTGTAGCAATTTTTGTCTTCCGATCAATAACAAAATATTTGCAAAATAGGATAAAGTGACCAAGGAAAAAATCCTTGGATATAAAATATTTAAAAACAATTTTCAAACAGCATAGAAAGTCAAAGGTAAGTAGAATTAATTGAATATGACTCCTAAATTATTTTAATTTATTTTGACAGGCTTATAATAAGGTATTCACTTCTAAATTCCAGTCCAATGTTTAAAACTGTAAGAACTCTGAGAATTTTGAAAATTATTCCTTTAAACCAAGGTAAGAAATGGCAATAAATTTCTTTTCCTTGTTGTTTTATGTGTTTCTGTGTACTCATTTGAACCTGTTGTTGCTCAGAGAAAATGTTATTTTTAGCAGTGTTTCCACTTTGGAAATTTTGAGATATCTGCCCTTCAAGTTTATTTGCCACTACAGGAAAGGAAAGAAAAACTACATTTGACTGTTATTTATATTGTGTTGGTTGGGTACATTAGGTATGGTACTGAAATATAGGTTAATGAACTATACTTTTATTTTACTTTTACATCATACATTCTATATTTTTATACAGTTGTATTAAATATAAGCTTACACAATTTCCCAAAGATGTCTAGTCTGTCTCCTGGTTTTCATCATTGGATCAAGAAATCAGTTGGAATAAACAAAGTAATATAAAATAAGATAAACTCCCCTTTGTCTTCAGAGACTGGATAGGATGCAGTCCATGTTCCACAAAGTTCAGGAAGGTCTTTCACAAACAGAGAAGAGAGCTGTGAGCATAATAATGAGGGATGTTGAGTACTAGTTTACAGCTTCCATCCTGAACATAGCCACATAGAAGCTCACCAATACCTCCTAACTTGTTATTCTGAATGGATAAAAACAATCTGATAGTGTGCGGATGTGACTCCCAGTACTAGAGTGCCTGCCTTGCAAGTGTGGTGAGGCTGTGAGTTCAAACCTCTGTACAGCCAATAAAAAGCAAATCAGAACAACTTCCTTTAGAGTTTTTGGCTACTGCGAGACAGAAGTGTCCTGAAATTATTATATGAAGAAGGATGAGTGTAATGATACCGAAGATGAGGTCTATAGGCAACTTTCATGACATGGGATACTATGAAGAATGATGGGAATAAGACAATCGTGTACTTGGACTCCAGACTGAGTACAACAAACAGATTGAAGATTCATAACCTGTGAATTTTTTTTTCATTTATTCATAAGTGCATACAATGTTTGGGCCATTTCTCCCACCTATCTTCTGCCCCCTCCCTCTACCCCTCACTCCCTCCCTCTACCCCCCTACCGCCTCACTTCCAGGCAGAAACTGTTCTGCCCTTATCTCTAATTTTGTTGAAGAGAGAATATAAATAATAAGAAAAAAGACAAAGCAGTTTTGCTAGTTGAGATAAGCATAGCTCTACAGGGAGATTCCTAGCATTGCTTGCATGTACAAATGTGTAACATTCTAAGTTGATTCTTCTCAAATTGACCTTTTCTCTAGTTCCTGATCCCCTTCTCCTATTGGCCTCTTTCACTTTAAAGTTTCTGCATTAGTTCCTATGCATTGAGGACATCAAATACTATCATGTTTTTTGGGTTTCTTACCTATCCGCCTACCTCCCATGTGTGCTCTCACCTTATCTTGTGACCAAAGTCCAATCACACTGCTGTATTTGCCCTACATCTAAAGTCCGTATATGAGGGAGGACATACAATTTTTGGTCTTTTGAGCCTGGCTAACCTCGCTCAGAATGATGTCTCCAGTTCCATCCATTTACTTGTGAATGATAAAATTTCGTTCTTCTTCATGGCTGAATAGAATTCCATTGTGTATAAATACCACATTTTCTTAATCCATTCATCATTAGTGGGGCATCTTGGTTATTTCCATAACTTGGCTATTGTGAATAGTGCTGCAATAAACATGGGTGTGCAGGTGCCTCTGGAGTAACCTGTGTCACATTTCTTTGGGTATATCCCCAGGAGTGGGATTACTGGATCATATGGCAGATCTATGTTTAGATTTTTAAGAAGTCTCCAAATTTTATTAGTTTGCATTCCTACCAGCAGTGTACAAGGGTTCCTTTTTCTCCACATCCTCACCAACACCTGTTGTTGGTGGTGTTTCTATTGAAGGCTATTTTAATGGGGGTGAGGTGGAATCTTAGTGTGGTTTTGATTTGCATTTCCTTTATGGTTAGAGATGGTGAGCATTTTTTCATGTATCTTTTAGCCCTTTGAATTGCTTCTTTTTGAAAACGTTCTGTTTAGTTCAGTTGCCCATTTCTTTATTGGTTCATTAACTTTGGAAGAGTTTAGTTTTTTGAATTCCCTATATATTCTGGTTATCAGTCCTTTGTCTGATGTACAGCTGGCAAATATTTTCTCCCACTCTGTGGGTGGGCTTTTCATTTTAGAGACCATTTCTTTTGTTGTGCTGAAGCTTTTAAATTTAATGCAGTCCCATTTGTCCATCCTTTCTCTTAGTTGCTGAGCTACTGGGATTCTATTGAGGAAGCCCTTGGCTATACCTATTGCTTCCAAAGTGTTTCCTACTCTTTCCTGCATCAACTTTAGAGTTTGGGGTCTGATATTAAGGTCCTTGATCCATTTTGAGTTGATACTAGTACAGCGTAATAAACATGGATCTAGTTTCAGTTTTTTGCAGATGGTTAACCACTTTTCCCAACAACATTTGTTGAAGAGGCTGTCTTTTCTCCATCGTATATTTTTAGCGCCTTTGTCAAAAATAAGGTGGGTATAGCTGTGTGGATTCATATCCCGGTCCTCTATTCTGTTCCGCTGATCTTCATGTCTGTTTTTGTGCCAGTACCCTGCTGTTTTTATTGCTATTGTTTTGTAATATAGTTTGAAGTCGGGTATTGTGATACCTCCAGCATTGCTCTTTTTGCTGAGTATTGCCTTGGCTATTCACGCTCTCTTGTGTTTCCAAATGAATTTTGGGGTAGATTTTTCAATGTCTTTGATGAATATCATTGGGATTTTGATGGGAATTGCATTAAACATGTAGATATCTTTTGGTAGTATAGCCATTCTTACTATGTTGGTTCTACCAATCCATGAGCATGAGAGATCTTTCCATCTTCTGTAGTCTTCCTTGATCTCTTTCTTCAGGGGTTTGTAGTTTTCCTTGTAGAGGTCATTCACATCCTTTCTTAAGTTTACTCCTAGGTATTTGATTTTTTTTGAGGCTATTGTAAGTGGAATTGTTTTCATATATTCTTTCTCAATTTCTTCATTATTAGTGTATAGAAAAGCTAATGATTTTTGTAAGTTGATTTAATATCCTGCTGTAGCTGTTAATGGTGTCTAGGAGTTTTTGGATAGAGTTTTTTGGGTCTTTAAGGTATAAGATCATATTGTCTGCAAATAGGGATATTTTGACAGTTTCTTTACCTATTTGTATTCTTTTTTATTTATTCTTCTTGCCTAATTTCTCTGACTAAGAATTCCAGTACTATGTTGAATAGGAGTGGAGATAGTGGGCATCCTTGTCTAGTTCCTGATTTTAGAGGGAATGGTTTCAGTTTTTCTCTGTTAAGTATAATGCTGGCTGTAGGTTTGTCATATATAGTTTTTATAATGTTGAGCTACTTTCCTTCTATTCCTAGTTTTCTTAGAGCTTTTATCATGAAAAGGTGTTGGATCTTATCAAAGGCTTTTTCTGCACCCATTGAGATGATCAATTGTTTTTTTTCTTTGCTTCTATTAATGTGCTGTATTACATTTATTGGCTTGAGTATGTTGAACTACCCCTGTATTCTAGGGATGAAGCCGACTTGGTATGGTGAATGATCTTTCTGATATGTTGTTGGATTCAGTTTGCCATTATTTTATTAAGGGTTTTTGCATTGATGTTTATTAAAGAGATTGGCCTATAGTTCTCCTTTTTGGAGGTGTCTTTGCCTGGTTTTGGGATGAGTGTAATACTGGCTTCATACAATGTATTAGGCAGTTCTCCTTCCCTTTCTATTTCATGGAACAGTTTAAGGAAAGTTGTTATTAGTTCTTTTTTAAAGGTCTGATAGAATTCAGCAGAGAATCTGTCAGGTCCTGAACTTTTTTTGGGGGAGACTCTTTATTGCTGCTTCAATTTCATTTTGTGTTATAGATCTATTCAGATGATTGATGTCCTCTTGGTTCAATTTTGGATGGTCATAAGTACCTATAAATCTGTCCACTTCTTTAAGATTTTCAAATTTATTAGAATATAGGTTCTCAAAGTAGTCTCTGATGATTTCCAGCATTTCCATGGTGTTTGTTGTTATCTCCCCTTTTGCATGTCTGATTTTATTGATTTGGTTTTTTCTCTCCTCATTTTAGTCAGGTTTGCCAGTGGTCTGTCAATCTTGTTTATTTTTTCAAAAAACCAACTTTTTGTTTCATTAATTCTTTGTATGCTTTTTTGTGTTTCTATTTTATTGATTTCAGCTCTTATTTTTATTATTTCTCTCCTTCTGTTTGTTTTGGTATTTGCTTGTTCTTGTTTTTCTAGGAGTTTGAGATGCAGCATTATGTCATTGATTTGAGATCTTTCTGTCCTTTTAATATATGCACTCATGGCTATAAACTTTCCTCTCAGGACTGCTTTTGCTGTGTCCCTTAGGTTCCGGTAGGTTGTGTTTTCATTTTCATTAACTTCCAGAAATGTTTTAATTTCCTCCTTTATTTCAACAATGATCCATTGATCATTGAGCAATGTGTTGTTCAGCTTCCAACTGTTTGCATATTTTTTTTGTTGAGTTCTAGTGATCAGAAAGAATAATGGTATTATTTCTATTTTCTTATATTTGCTGAGGCTTGCTTTATGTTATAAGATATGATCAATTTTGGAGAAGGTTCTGTGGGCTGCCAAGAAGAATGTATATTGTGCAGAAGTTGGATGAGATATTCTGTGGACATCGGCTAGGTCCATTTGATCTATGGTATGATTTAGATCTAGGATTTCTTTATTGATTTTTTGTTTGGATGACCTATCTATTGGTGATAGGGGATATTAAAGTCTCCCACTACTACTGTTTTGGAGTTTATATATGTTATTATGTCATTCAGAGTATGTTTAATGAAATTGGGTGCATTGACGTTAGGTCCGTGTAAGTTGATAATTGTTATTTCCTTTTGGTGTATTTCCCCTTTTATTAGTATGGAGTGTCCTTCTTTATCTCTTTTGATCAATGTAGGTTTGAAGTCTCTTTGTCTGAGATAAGTATTGCTACTCCTGCCTGTTTTCAGGACCATTGGCTTGGTAAATCTTC